TGGTGCAATGGCTGTCTTCGCCTTCGATAACAGTACGAATCACGCGGCATTTGCAGATGATGCCCTTATAGCACAAAGAATGAACAAAGGACCCAGAGGAAAGCAAAGTATAATGCGGCCAACAACTTTTATTGATGCTAATGGTCGACAGAGGGAGCAAACAATGGTATTTGAAGAGGATTACTTTGATCCCGATTTGAGAGGAAAGCCAAAAGGAATAAAAAAGGTGTTAGAAGAAAGAGGACTTTTTAAAGAGGGATTAAATTTGGATTGCTTGGCATGTAAAAAAAAGAATGATTCAGGTAGAACGGATTGTTACTTGAGGAAGATTATGGCCTCTCAACCAGATTTTGTTGCCCAAAAGTCCGCCGTTGTGGAATTAATCGAAGATGCCGGCCATATCTGCATTTTTTATCCAAAGTTCCACTGTGAACTTAATTTTATCGAAATGTATTGGGGAGCAGCTAAGAGATATGCAAGAGATTACTGCGATTACATATGGACCGGCTTGCAAGAAACTGTTCCACGAGCACTTGATTCAGTAGACATTGTTACGATTAGAAGGTTTGCTCGCAAATCATGGAGATATATGGAGTTGTATCGTGAGGGATTGACAGGAAAATTGACGGAATATGCATGTAAAGAATTTAAATCGCACAGAAGAGTTCCTCAAAACGAATTGGCTTCATTTATTCAAGAAAATAGAGAAATGGGCCCTGTTTAATAAATAAATAAAAATTTAATAGCGATTAGATAAATAAATAAAATTTAATTGCAATTAAATAAATGAAGTAAATTTAATGCGCGATTAAAAATTAAATAAATAAATCGATCGTGATAAATTGATGCGTAATTAATAATAAATCGATCGTGATAATAAATTGATGCATAATTAAATAAATAAATTTGATGCGTGATTAAAAAATATTTTAAATTAAATAAAATAAATTATTAAAATAACTAATGTTTGTATGTAATTAAATAAAATAAATTAAAATAAATAGTGTATAATTTATGTTGTGTGTAATTTTAAAATTGATCATTTTAAAAAAATCCGAAAATTTTGAATAATCGATGACGTGTCACGTGATTAACGTCTGCTCGGTTCGGCAAAAATACGATTTTTGGGCGATTTGAGATTTTTTTAAAAATTAAGCCAAAATGGGACAAGTCACGTGACTTCCGTCTTTAGGTGTCCCGCACTATA